GGCAAAACATGGAGTCACAGGTTACAAGGAGAGTTCTTTTGACGGTGTGATCATGTCAATTGGAACCAGAGCAGTTTTTTTATCTTGGATAAGTAGCATGAATTTGTTTTCATTATCAAACGTCAAACCGAAAAGGGTTCCATATAATTAATGGATAATGGATCTTCCTGTTGATTATTCCACTTAACAAGAGGATGGTACAGTATCTTCGTGGTTACCTTGGTGCGAGGAATCAGGACGTTCCTAGGAACTGGCAATCCTTTTGAAATGGCAAATTCTTGAGCTGCTAGAAGTTTATCTGGGGTCATGCGAGTCCCTTCCACGAAGATAGTCAACCAAAAAGAACCAGGGAAATCCTTAAGCTCTCGAAAACTTGACTGCAAGGAATGATCGCTCCAGCAGAACATTAATCCAAATGTAACAAGCTGTTATGCAGCTAGACGTGCTAGTTAATATTCTTTTTTATAGCCATAAAGGGACTTCAATCCTTTTGTTATAGACTCGTTCAGCTGTATCTTAAATCCCAGGATGGATATTGACACTCACACACACTCTTCTTTCGGTTTAACTTGTTTTTTAAATCATTTTTTACTAAAAAAAATATAAAATTAATTTCAATCCATTAAGTTCGAATGAAGAAAATTAAGTTCGAAGATAGATTGTGTGAAAAAATGAACGAATGAACTGTGAATTAAATTAATAAATCATAAAACCTATGCTAACCGTCGAGAGTTGTTTCTTCAATTTTCTTGTAAAAGATGTTTTAAATCTTAATCACACATCTTGAATTCATTGGGCAGTATACACTGCTTAAACATATAGTTGCCAACAACTAAATTGTGATGATGAGAATTTTAAAATTACAATTATGAGTTCCAAATGTTTTTTTATACTATATATATATATATATATATATATATATATATATATATATACCAATAGTAAATTAGGTCACCATCGCATTTGTATTTAAGCACATGCTAAGAGTGCTATTTTAGAGCTTTTCTTCATTTTTTTAATATTTAATATAAAGATTTTTCAGTAAATAATGCACTTGTAAATAACACAAGGAGGTGTTTAAGAATATGCTTTTCAAAATGTTTTTTTTTGGAAATATATTAAAATAATATTTTAAAAAATATATATTTTTAACATTAGCATATTAAAATAATTTGAAAATACTAAAAAAAATTAATTTGAAATAAAAAATAAAAAAAATTAAATTTTTTAACAATATTTTTAAAATATAAAAATAAACAGGACGTAAAATATTAATAAGTAACCCTTGTCAAACCATGAGCAAATTTAATTGACTTCTTAATCAATTAGATTTTAAAATATATATGAATGAATACAATATTTTAATTTAGCACATAAATTTTTCAGGATTTCATAAATATTCAAGTCTTAATCTATAGGTTTTAATCATTTCTATTTTTAAGGGTGGGGTTTCAAAACTATATAAGTTCTGTATAATTTCTATTTTTAAGGGTACTGGGGTTTCAAAACTATATAAGTTCTGTATTTGTGGTTAACGATGGATAGATTAGCGAATTTCAGTGGTGATTATAATTAATATACCTTCAATTTGCCTTCATCTTTGGCCCAATTCCTATCCAAGAAAACGGCTCCATTAAACCAATTTGCCCATCCATAAATCTGCAGAAACAGTTCAAATTAAGCTGAATTACCCATCATTTTAATTTCAAAACGATCCTCAGCATATATAGAGAATGAATCAAGCGGATATATTATAGAAGCAAAGTGAAAGTATCTAAATATTAATACTTACGGGAAGGTATTTTGAAGATTTCTTCATGACCATTAGAACACCGCGGAGACAGTTAAAGCGCTGGAGGGAGCCAAATCATGCATTCAGCAGGCAATGAGTTTTATTTATTTAAGCATCATAAATAACTGTTTATTTATTTATTTATCATCATCATCATCACTTACAAGTAAGATTTGCTTAGCTAGCTGAACATTACCTCGGCTAAAAGCCACATCATGAGGACATCAACATCGCAGATGTGATTAGGCATTACAAGAGCGTTCTCTTTGCCTGGAAAAACCCTCAAGCAATTATAAAGACTCCTCCAGGATTACTAGCCTCGATAATTTTTTTGAAGTAATCAAAGCCTTACCGATCAACTCATAGGTTTCTAAATCTGTATGGAGGTGAACCTGCAAGAATTTTTATTAATTAAATTAGAGGGATGGATTTGAATTGTTGGCGTAATAAGAAATCTTAGGTAAGTTCATGTCCCTGTATATTTTACTTTGACTATTGGTTTTATAGCCTTTAATTTCAATATATTATCGATGATTATATTAAAAAAAAAAGACAAGAGAATATTGGGAGGGGTTAACACCTCAAGACCTGCAAACCAATTCACCAAAAATGTCATCACCAAGAAAAATATTTCGGTCACCGCCCCAACGATCCTTCTGTATGTATTTTTTGAAAGAGGCCATATAATGAGGAAGCAAGCTGCCTGCAAAATTAGCATGGTGATTATATACTTTATAATATTAATGTAGGATTTATAATTTATAAAACATCTTGAAATTAAGCAACCAATATTTATCAAAAGAAAGAAGAAGAAGCAGCAAGCACATAAAATCACAAAGCAAGAAGCTCCATGGTTGCCAGCCATTACTTGGATGATGTTAATGGCAATGCCTGTGAGACAGAATACCATGCCTAAAGGCAGAAACAGAACTACAGTAGCAAGATTTTCCATGGCCTCCTACTTTCGGAATGTTTGCACAGAAAGCGAGCTTCTTTATATATTAGCGTTGGGAGAGACTGGGGGCAGTGTGTGTGTGTGTGTAGTATTATATTTATAGAGAAGGAAGATGAAGTTAGGCAGGTAGGCATCGATCACTTAAATGTTGAAGCTAAGAAGTTTAATATGGACATCTAATTACAGCTTTGGTTGGTAACATACTATATTTTTATTGGTTAAAACAAGTCATTCTCCAACAAAATATATGAATTAATCATCCCAATCCAAAGATTTATCACAATAATTATTTTTAATTAGAGAGCTTATGACTGTTTAATCAATCCATTAGTTTAATAACATATCTAAAATTAGTGTTTGATCAGATCATTTTCTTTTCTTTTTTGGCATTAATCTTTTTATTTGGTTTTTAAAAAAATTGTAAACTTGCTTGGTTGTTAGCTTTATATATATATATATATATATAATACCCTTAGTTTCAATAAGATATCTAGAACTTTTTGTTCTTGAAAATTGAGAGCTCCTGACCTTACCTTGGGGTATCATATACCTAACCCTAGATCTTCATATTAGGTTCCAATCCGAATCCTAGATCTCAAAATAAATCTCAACTTGAATGTTCATTAGCATCCATGTCCGTTAAACACTGTAAAAAATTGTGTTAAGAGCTAATATTATTTGGTTTTTAAAAAGTTTTAAAAATTTATTGTATATTTTATTAAAAAAACAATAATAAAGAATGAAAACGATGTATAATAAAAATTGTATATGTCAAACAACTCCTAAACTGAATAAAATTTTTTTTTTTAAATTTATTATATATTTTATTAAAAAAACAATAATAAAAAATGAAAACGATGTCAAACAACTCCTAAACTGAATAAAATTTTAATAATGATTATATATCAACTTAAAAAAAAAATTCATTCCAACGTTGACTTAAGAATGATGAAGTATTCATTTTATGATTTAAAATATAGATTCTTTATAAAAAAAATATAAACAATATTTCAACATCTTATTTAATAATTTAAATTTTTTAATTAAAATAATTTTTTTCAAGAACGAATATAACATCTAAAGCAAGAAATTAAATTGTTGTTTTTGTTTTGTTTTATTTTTTTCAAGGAAAAAAGAAATCCATTATTCATGATTTATAACTATATATAAAAACATAAATTCTTAAAACTTGATTGTTATATCTTTATTGCAATAACAATGCTAGAGTATAACCCGATTCTATTTACACTCCATATCTTTAATTAAGAAAAAAAAACATAAAAAATACTTTTTAAAAAAATGTATTGATTCCTAAACAAAAAGATAGTCCTATTTTCTCATATACACTACTTAAATCTAAAAGAAGTTTCCTAAATCACTCCTGATTCTTATAGAATATTATTTTCACTTTATTTTGAGTATACAAATTCTAAAAATGCTTAAAAGCAAGTCAATAATAAAATTAAAATATTAAAACAATATAATTACATAAAAATAATCAAATTATTAAATTGGATCCTTATTTATTTTTTATGGAAGAACTTTTTTTCATTATCTTACATTACTTTCAATTTCCTTGGACAAAAGGATTCATAAATTTCACATTATTTCTTTTCACAAGCTTTTATAATATTCAAGAACTTTATTTATAATTTCTATTCATTCCTATTTTTTTATAAATCATTTAATAAAAAGGATTCAAAAAAATTGTTATTCATTTATGTATTGCTAATTTCTTTTCACCTCCCATATAATTGAAAAAAACTCTTCAAAATAAATAAGTTTTTATAAAAAATATTACATGCTAGTGCTACTACTATCATCCTAAAAGTCAACTTTCCTTAGGTTCCTCTCTCTCCTTCTACCTCAGGACCATCCTTTTATCATACTAGCGGGAAGGTGACGGTGATACTAGTTAATACTACCAGGGACCGTTTGACCTGAACTAACACTATACATGATCACAGTCATAAATATATGCACCCACGCACTATGCGGTTAATTATACAATACCTAACGATACTGTTTCTGAAAGCTATCTTTCCATATATTTGGAAAACTACAGAAAAAAGTGGATTCTGTGTGGGGAAAATTGTCAGCAAAAGCATAAATTATATCATCTTGGCCAACATGAACACAGCTTCCCTTTCAAGACGAGAAAAGTTTTGGGAAACCAGATCATTTTATACGACAAGACAGAGGTTCTGGGAAGCTAGATCATTTTATTCGAAAGCAAATCAATCCATGCGAGCAGAAAAATGAATCCTCCTACAGAGAAGCAGATATTTTCTTCATGGAAGATTTTGAGGGTCTTATTTGTAGACTCAATGAACATATGCAAATCAACCATTACCAGCTCCATCCGACAAGCCAATCAACGTCACTCTTATATGATTGCAAATGACAAGCGCATGTTCTTTACCTGGAAAGTTACCACATAAAAAATAAGCATGAACATGGTTTAAGAGCCAAGTTAACATCATGAAAAGGAAAAAAAGAAAGGAAACCTTAGGTTATACCCAGCAATTCAAAAGTTTCATCATCTGCACACCTCAATCTGCATTGAGAAGATCTAGCTAGTTAGGCCACGAAGAGGGAAACTCATCTGGAAAGTCAGAAAAAGAATTGCAGTTTCATGACTATAAATGGAACAGTCCATGATTAGACCTAAGCCGTAAATTTCCCAAGCTATCAATGACAAAGGTGGCAATGAAGCACATATATAAGCATAATTAAATGATAAAAATAGTATCAAGTTCCTCAACCTATTGACGGATTGAGAATTAAAGAAATACAAAGCGAAGAAAATTTCATCCCAGAGGCGCAAGCCTTGTATTCTCTAATGCTTTCATAGACTTTGCGGTGTTACATCTAAATAGATTTCAAAGACATCGCGTGGAAAAAACTTTGGAGCTAAAATACATTGCACATTGAATATCCTCTTTCCTTTTTGCTTTTTCCTGTTTGTTTTGGGTCTCCAGTGGGAATCCCCTCCTGTCCTGTATATATGGCATAAGCTTGTGACTTTAGAAATTAGGTTTTCTGGGAACTAATTATTATATAAATGATCGATGAAAAAATGCCAGATGGGATGAGAATTAAAAGCTTATAACAACCACGTAAAGCAATTCAAGGAAGAATTCGAGCACCTTCAAATTTGCCCACCAATCATTCATCAACAAGCCCTATGAGCTGCAACCAAAGCAATTCTGCAACTATTTTGTGAGTCCTTCTGTGCAGATTATTGGACACGGGACGAAAATGGAAGGAGAGAACTGCCCGCGAAGTGCAAGATATGAGTGAAAGCAAGAAATAAATTATGTTAGCATAAAGTTGAGAAAATATTTTACGACCTTAATATAATGAAAAACAGAGAACGTTTTCTTTCTTTTTTCTTTTTTATTTCTTGGGAGGTGGGAAGCTGCAGAAAGGTATACTGATTTGTTGTTGTCCAAGAGAAAACAATATCCAAGGAAACATGATATGCATTAACCACGAAAAAGGGGTCAAGTTAATCAAAAACTTAATACAAATAGACTGAAATTCAAGTGGCCGGAAATAACTCGACACGCACACAGAAGGGTGTTTTGCTTGGATGAACTAGAATCAGAAGCAAGAAATCATCAAAGTTTGCCATGAAACATCCGATTAAAAAGTAACCAAGAAGCATAACTAACAACAGCAAACAAGCCAAGAAACTGGTAACCAAGAAGCAGGGGCGGAGTAAGAAAAAAAAATTACAAGAAGCATGACTAACAACAGCAAACAAGCCAAGAAACTGTAGTTAAGTAGAAGAAGAGTAATTATGAATGACCTGAATGAGATTAATAAAAATGAGACCAGAGAGTATGAAAATAATTCCAACAGGGACAATAACCTGTGCAGCTGGCCACGCCATTAACATTCATCACCAACCATATGCAGTCCTGCCAACGCAATGCCATGATGTAGAGAAACAGAGAGGGAAACGAAAATTAAAATATCTGTACCCTTTTCTTTATTAAAGCAAGCGGTTTATGTCTGAAGGAGATGCCGATTTCGACGCCGTTGCATGGGATGCGAAGGGGAGGGGACGGAGTCGGAGACTCTCGCCTTTCTTCTCTATTGCTACATGCTGTTGCCAACTTTATGTATTTTTAGCTCTCAAAAAATAATAATAACAATGGCTCTGAACTACTAATTGTCGATTTACACCTTAGATTTTTTTTCTGTATAGCTTCGCGATGGACCCAAATCATTTCAGTGAGGCGACAGGTCGTCTTCTTCTCAAATAAATGACACGTCAGGCGTCTTCTATACTTGTAGTTTGCGCATCCTACGGCGTCGCTTTAACAGATTATAATTTGCAAGATCAACAACGAGCACTCGGCTGAAACCCGGTGTCCCTCGAAGTGCTAAAAAAATAGAACAGATAAACTTGAAGAGAAGAAGAAAGTAGCAGGCTGCAGAGCAGAGGAAGTGAAAGTGAAAGAATAATGGCAGCAACAACAGCACCAGGAGGCTACCATCAACCAGCAACTTTAGAAGAAGTAAGAACCCTTTGGATTGGTGATTTGCAGTATTGGGCCGATGAATCCTACCTCACCTCCTGCTTCGCTCACACAGGCGAGGTCGCTCCTCTCTCACACCTCTTTTCTTCTTCTTCTTCTTCTCATGCTTTTTGTACATATGGGTTTTTGTTTATCTATCATGGGTCTCTCTCTCTTTCCTTTTCCCAATTATAATTAGTATTTCTTAATGTTTTTTTTTTTAATTTGAGAAAAATGTGAATTTCAGGTAGTCTCGATTAAAATAATACGCAACAAGTTAACTGGACAGCCTGAGGGTTATGGGTTTGTGGAGTTTGTTTCTCACGCAGCAGCTGAAAGGATTCTGCAGACGTATAATGGGACGCAAATGCCAGGAACGGAACAAACCTTTAGGTTGAACTGGGCTTCTTTCGGGATTGGGGAAAGGCGGCCCGATGCAGGTCCGGAGCATTCGATTTTTGTTGGGGATTTAGCACCTGATGTTACGGATTATCTATTACAGGAGACGTTTCGGGTTCATTATCCGTCGGTTAGAGGTGCGAAGGTTGTGACTGATCCGAATACTGGACGGTCCAAGGGATATGGGTTTGTTAAATTTGCGGATGAGAATGAGAGAAATCGTGCCATGACGGAGATGAATGGTGTTTTTTGCTCAACTAGGCCAATGCGAATTAGCATGGCAACACCCAAGAAGACCACTAGTTATCAACAACAATATGCTTTGCCAAAAGGTCATAATTCCTCTGTTTATTGATTTGAAGCAAATTGCAATTGGATGGATGACTTTAATATTTCTTTTTCTGCAGTAGCTTCACATGTTTACCTTGACGAAGCTACCTTGTTTAACAATTAGGTCTTGATTGATGCTGGTTGCTATTTTATTTCCAATTTGAATGTAGCTTTATTATATGCTGTCTAAAGTGAAATTGAGCGTCCTAGAAATTATGGTATTTTTAAAACTTTACACCGCAGGAAACTGCTCGAGGCTCTGCAACTCAAATATTACTAAGCACATGGGCTTCCCAACCATCAAAGCCTTTGATTCTTAACGACTTCTTAATATCGCTTGCTTGTTCTTTTTGTCTTGCATGAGGATGCACTGGCTTTAAAGTGCGTCACTCTCATTTTCAATTGGTTCCTGGATAACATTAAATATTGCTAAGCATATGGATTACCCAGAAATTAAAGCCTTTGATCAGTAATGACTTTCTAATACTGCTTACTCTTTTGGCATTCAAGTGCAGCACTCTTATTCTCAATTGGTTTCTGGATAACATTGTGCTTAATTTTCATTTTTTGCAGCCTTTTATCCAGCTCCCGCATACACTGCACCAGTCCAAGTGGTTTCAGCAGATGGTGACGTTACTAATACCACAGTAAGTTAGCCATACTTAAGTTTTTTGGAGATTTGTTTCTTGTGCATTTCTACTGACAATTTTTTTCTTATTGCAGATCTTTGTTGGTAACTTGGATCCTAATGCCACAGAAGAGGACCTCAGGCAAACCTTTCTGCAGCTTGGGGAGATTGCCTCTGTCAAGATTCCTGCAGGCAGAGGATGTGGTTTTGTACAGTTTGCAACTAGGTTTGTTTGATTAGTACTGAAAATGCTTTTTCTTACTACGTTATCATCTTTAGATGATATGCCATATAAGTACTAATATTGCAGGATCAAGGCATTGTCATTTGTCCTTTTGAGGCATTTGGTAGTCGAGTTTGAATGTGGGTTCATGGTCATTTCTATTTAGCAACACCGTCATATGGGTTAGCCCTTCCCTTCTCTTATTGATCAGAGAATCACAAGTGAAAAGGATGAGGGAGGCAGAAAGTATTATTGTGTGGATAGTCCAAAGGGGGTACCCCTTATGTCATGATATGTTTGTTATTGCCAAGGTTCCACCAAATACCAATTTTGTCTATATAGGAAACTGTCTGAATAAGTCATACAAAGGATGCAGGGGAATATGATTCTTGTGGGCTAGGTCTATACTGCTATCCCTTATAGCATACTATAGTCAAGTTTTTTACTTCCCCCCTGCTATGTAATAGTTTCTGACCTCTATTATTTTTTTTTCCTGAACAGGACATCAGCTGAAGAAGCAATACAAAGGATGCAAGGGCATGTGATTGGTCAACAACCAGTACGCATCTCTTGGGGAAGGAAACAAGTAAGTTTCACTTCCAGCTTTGAGAATGTTTGATATGCAAACACCTTGTCATGTCATGCTTCTTTTCATATCCATAAAAACAGCACAATTATTTAATTTTCAACATTCAGCTCAATACCATGAAGAAAGTCAATTCATAGCAGACTGCTTGGCAGCAGATGGAACATCCCTGGGTATTTGTGTCAATAATTATATTGTTTAATCTGTGATTTAATCCTTAGTAGCCTGTTTTGAATACTAAGTTTTTAATGAATGTCTTGTCTATCTAAAGAAAGTTTAAGTTAAAACATCAGGATAGGATGATATTAAATTTCGGATATTATTTTTTTCTTGACGGGAATTGATAATGAGTTTGAAGGCATTATGGAGGAGTCTATGTAGTCTTGTATTTATTTGCAGTCTTTGACTTAAACATGCATTTCAAACCATTATTCTTTTCTATACTAGCCGTGATAATATATGATATCCTGTTGCTGTAGGACTTAACTGCTACCTGGGGTCAGCAAGTAGATCAATGGAATGCTTATTATGGTTATGGACAAGGCTATGATGCATATGCTTATGGGGGCACACATGATCCATCATTATATGCATACAATGCATATGCTGGTTATCCACAGTACCCTCAACAGGCAAGATCTGTTAATTTGCTTAAACAGTTTCCCTTGATGATAATACTAGTTGTCATTGATTTTGTCCACTTTGGCCATTTAATTTTTTTTTTTTCCTTCTATATGACTCAATAGTGTTAGAGCCTGGGATGGTCACTGGGCAGGTATAAGATGGGTTTTGCATTGCACATTCTTACCCTTGTAATATCTTGTGGCATCCATACCATCTGTTTTAAATGGATGAGGAGGGGTGGGCTGAAACTTTTAGGTTCAGGCCTCAGGGTGCATTGGGGCTAGCATGCATAATGATAAAGTTTAAAAGTTCTAGAGTTCCATCAAATCCTTTCAGCAAGCACCTTAATTGTGCCATCACTGAGGATAACAGAACTTTGGCGGCAAATGCAGAATAATCATTTTCTATTTAAATAATATATGTCCAAGTAGCAGAGAAAAGTCTCCTCATGATGGTGTTTCATGCCCAAGGAAAAAGATGGAAGGAGAAGGGGAATATGAGAAGCTAATTTTGGGTGCATTGTCATCATGATAAAAAGTTAATATACATCCACTATTAGGGGGTCAAACATGATGTTGAAAACAACAGGCTAGGCTTTTCTGGTATTCTTTTGGATACAAAAGATGTGCAAGTGTATCTAATCACTGCTGGAAAGATCAGAATGGACTCTGTTACATGAGTTTTGACATTTTCAGACTGTAAATACTATTTCTGAATTCTCTCGTGGAAAAGAAGTTTGTGCTTAATTTAATTAATCATCAGTTGCCTTAATTTGATCATGCATCTGGCGGTTTGATTTTAGGTTGAAGGTGTTCCAGACATGGCAGGTGTTGTCCCAGTTGCTGAACATAGGGAAGAGTCTTATGATCCGTTGGCTGCTCCAGATGTTGATAGGTAAAGTTTTGCGTTCAGCGACACTAGTGTTACACAGCATGTGTATTTTCTTTTCTTGCCTAATATTTAGTTCTGTTGATTTGATTGTCAGGTTAAATGCTGCTTATCTATCTACACATGGAAGTGCCATCTTTGGCCGGACTTTGTGGATGAAAACCTCATCACTTACGCAACAAGCTCAGGCATAATTGATCTACGTGGTTCGCATCATGGTACCTGCTGCATTATCCAAGGGGCTGCTTCAGGGTTAAGAAATCTGCCATTTGATGGAAAAACTTCCAAAACATGCTTAAGATGTATCCGTTAACAGTGATAGTCAAGAAAGAAAACAGCTAGTACGTATTTTAACAAGCTTTGCTTTGGTGTTTTTAGGTTTTGAGCTTTTTGGTTTTCATTCGTTTTGTACATGAAGTTGAGCCACAACGAATATTGCTCGTTGGCAAGCTGCTGTTCTCTTGCGGGATAAGATTTATTGTCACTTTCTTGATGGTTCGTCTCTATGCCTTTCCATTTACAGATTACTTACTAATATGTAAGCACCAAATGAAAAAAAAAATGTTTTTTTTGTATTGTAATTAATAATGGCTTTTAAAAATGTATTTTGTTTGAAAATATATTAAAATAATTTTTCCTTGTATTTTTTTTAATTTTTGGTATGTAATATACAATATATTTTTATATTTAAGTAAAAATTATCTTTCAAATTTTCTTTTTAAAATATCCCATCCAAAATTTTAATTTCTTCGCAATTCTCTTAAATTTATATTCTTTCCTTGCAAAGTATTATCATTATAAATATTTTTCTTCATTTTTATTTAGATGTCTACTTTACACTAAACATAAAACCAACAATTTAAAATATTACCCTGCTTGGATGCTTAATGCTTAATCAAGAATATTGTCAAGAAAAGTTTCAAATGTTAAGGAAACAATGAAAAAATAAAATTTAAATAGCTTCATTTATATTTTCCAAATTGTGCTGTCTATTTGCCAAATTAACAAATATTCTGATCATTCTTCTACTTGTGTATGGTGTTGTGAACATAATTACTTAATTAATTCATTTAAATACATGTAATATATAATATATATTATGACCCCACAAAAAGATTTTCGGCTTCATGATTGGTGCAACAGTATTTGGAATGTAAAATCATGTTATGAAATACTAACGACAAACAATTGTTTGAATATGTATACAAACATGAATAATCATTATAAATAATTTTACTATAAAATATATAAGCAATTTCATTTGATTTAATCCACTATTTTACATAGCATACTCATATATACTATTAAATATTTTCTTGAAAATTATATATATTTGAAAAACCGTGCCAATAACACGTAGTTCATCAACTTAGCAAAGTGAACGGGAACTCCTAATTGACGGAGTTCGGCGTCTACAAGTGATAAAACCGTAACAGGGAATGATAAATAGCCTCCCTTGAAGTCATTGAAGAAATTTTGCTGGAAGAAGAACAGTTCATTGAACGGGCAAAAAAAATAATTAAAATTGCTTTTGACAACAATGAAATTGATTGTTATTTTTAACGAAAAACTATATATTCAATTCATGTATTTTAAATTCATTTATAACTTCAACATTTTCATCGCTTTCATGTTATTTTCCAATTTATTTGAAGAAAGTAGATGTTATAAGAAGATTAACGAGAAAAGAAAGCCTTTCTTAGAAACAAAATACACTAGGTTAAGTACGGTCAGAGACTATTATTTTTTTATTTTATTTTTAAATAAAGGACACCTGGGCCCCAGTAGACGAGGGATCAACTATGATGCGAATGCTATGACTAACCACTTATACTTGACTCCTGAACTTGGAGACTATTATTTTTTTATTTTATTTTTAAATAAAGGACACCTGGGCCCCAGTAGACGAGGGATCAACTATGATGCGAATGCTATGACTAACCACCAAATGAAATAGGTTGTCTAGGCCCGAACCCAGTTGCTGCTTCGGCAAGGCTAACCGTGGGATTCAAAAGGGCGAAACTTGAAGAAATAAGATGCAGTTCAAAACCATGGTATTTCTATTTCCTTCTTTTGTCTCAATCTAAAAAGGACGTTTTGTACCACAGAAAACTCCGAGGAACACAATGAGAAGTGCTATCTCAGGGAATTACCATTAGCTCCTTTCATTTGCTTTGCTTTGTGCTCTTTGATCAACCCAAAGATGATGTGCAAAAGTTAAAAACGGACAAGAGCATAAATAGTGAATATAGCAAACTTGGATCTCCTTCAGCCTTATTAATTTCATGTTGCCGTCAAAGATAAATGAAGTGCCTCAGAACAAAGTACAGTTTTTCATGGCCGAAGTTGAAAATAAAAAACGAAGAAGAGTTCTACTTTGACAGCGAAACTTGAAAGTCTATATCTTGTATGGATGGTAAATAAGATTTGAGATGTAAAGGTCAAAATTGTTCATATAAATGAATGAGAAAGAACTGGATGTGATTGTCATGACCTTAAATCATAAATACTTGGCCAACCAGGGTATCTCCTTGCTGTCTTTCAATGCAAAAGCTACATCATCACTGCACAAGGTAGAAGAAGTTGGTCACTTACAACGTTGATAATGCTTCCTGTTTTGCTTGTGCACGAGAAAAGTTATTCATTCAATCAAATAAATCATGCCTATAGAATAATGTTATTAATTCAAATGCAAGGCATTCCTTCTCAAAATCGTAATTCAGATTCTATGAGAATATAGTAGTATTGTAATCCTTAGACTGCCCAGATCAGTGGAGCAAAGTCATAGCAGAATGTGCTCCAGGGAACTAACCTTGGAAAATTGAGCTGCAACTTCTGCAAACTGTGTCTAGCTCCTGGTTCACATAGAATTATCCTGCTTTCACCTAGCATGCAGCTGCCAATAACAACACAAATGAAACAAAACAATCAAGATTTTTCACTGACCTCAAATCAGAATCAATGTTTATGAACTGAATCATAGAAGCACCTGTCTTTGTTTTTTCCAGTTTATGAACAACCAGAAACGTGGACATGACATACTACAACTTGTAGTTCCTTTAAATAAAAATCATAATTAAGTATTATCACATAGCTTGGTACATCACAACTTTTTTTTACCGAAACCTCATGTTGCTTTTCGTAGTGCCACAGAAAGCAGTAAAGCAACATGTCCCCATTTGGCACGTCATCTGGGCATACTTACATATAATGTCCAAGTACTGAGGAGCCCCAAAGCCCAAACCATTCCCCCCAACAATAGCTCTCCAAAGAAGTTGTCGAAAGAAAATTAACTGAGAAAATTTCCATGATATCCCCTTTTCTTTCAGGAAAAAAGAAGCAAAAAAGCAATGCAAGCTGACTTACCCAACTTTCAAGAGGATGTCCCAACCAGGAAATGCTTCCGCATTGCTTGTACAAATACATGAAACAGTCATGGCCAACTGCAAACGGATGAACCTTTCAGCAACCACTCACAAATGAGTCTTGAAACCATCAAGATAGAGAGTGTTTATACAAAACTCAGTTGGACCAACAAGAAAAGGATAGTTGCAAACAGTGGGGGCATGGCTTAATGTCCACTGTTTGTTGATAGCTTATGTATGCAAAAAATTAACTTATAAAATATGAAAGCTCTGAATGTTAGCTTCAGAGGCTTACTACCTTGGCCAGGACACATTCATAGTGTGGTTAGTATAGCTTTTAATTCCAAAAATACACGGAATTGATAAAGGGCAGTTAAAAACAATCAGACATATTAAGGTGGCTTTGGATTTTGACCTTTTCAAAGGATGTCTCAGCCATCCCTGTTTTATACAGCTCGTACACCATAGCTGCCAAGAAAATTTTACTTAGTTTGGAACAACTTCTCATTACCTGCAATAAAGAAAGAAAAAAAAGAGAGAAAAGAATCAGTTGTTATAAGAGGAGGTAGTCTAAAATTGAGATCCTTTTCTCCCCATTAACAAATACTAGTATTCTTTTTTTCACAAAATTTAAATGTCATTGATGACAGCTAGCATAAAAGTTTAAAAAACTGTCCAAGGCAATCATTCTCACACACTAAGATCTATGATAATTTCACTTCATGTAGAGTAGCCATCGTGTCACAAGGTAATAAAAGTGTCTGCTTTGATCTCCTTGATAGTATTTAAGTTTACTAAGACATTTCCTTGAACTGCCCACCAATTTTATGCAGGGATAAGATAGATAAATTTCTTGATGTCAAAAAGTGCAGTGCTATGGCAAAGTAAATTTTTTTTCATAGAGCACTACAGTTAAGGCATAACTCTGGCCATTCACCTCTATATAAATCTGAATTTGAAAGTCATTGCTGATACATGCACAACCGAGACTATTGTGTACCCACTATCATGATTCCAACTTCAGTATAAAAAATAAAGAAAAAATGGCTTAAAATAGCAAAATAGACCCATTATTTGCAAGATTTATAGTTGAAAACCAACTCACTTGAATATGAGGCGCCTGGAACATTTCCTGAATGGCTGCTTCAACTGCTGACATACCGACAAGGCCCTTCCCTGGAAAATGATCAAATTCAGATTCATCTAGTGAGCAGAACTACCAATGTGGCTGAGAGGGCAATCCTTTAATTCATAAAATTCTTATTAGGGGATGGGTTTAATTGCCAATAAAATATGCAAAAATATTTTTACCCTTTATTTCATAACATTACCAAAACTATTAATGTTTGAAAATAGATGTTCTGTCTGATTTAGGTCAATTTTGGCACCCAGTTTTACTTGATATAGATCAACATGAAAGCTTCGAGGAGTCAACTACAGTAACCATATAGTTGCTCACCATAATTGGAGCCTCTAGAAGTTCTGATAGGCACTACATTCATACTCTACAACAGCATGAGGTGACTTAAGAAACCCCCAAGAATGCACCACAATCTAAAGTAAAAAATATTGGTGATGTTAATATCATAACATGATTTGATGGCAACATTTTTTTAGGGGAGTCAAGCTCCAAGCATGGACGAAATATCCTTTGCTTGTTTGAATATGAAAGACCACCTAATCCAAACCATTGGAATGAAGTTATAATATCTCACAGTATCAAGTTTAGTAAACAAATAGTTTAGGTACCTTCTGGAGCTGGATTATGATTGGAGCTCAATTTCTTAATATGGTAATCTGCAATTTCAGCTGCGCGCCTGCAAATTTCTAGAGCACGACGTGCATCTCCTGAAATAGCTGCTACCTGAATGTATTCATGAGGTTGATGTTGAGGGAAAAGCAATTCAAGTATGAAGATATGCATCAAAATTTAGCAATTGAAAATATAGAGCAAGTTTAGAATCCATGGCAACAAACAAAGACAGACCTTCCTTGAAGCAAATTCTATAGCTTGCTTTTCAAATGCATCGATTCCTTTAAGGCGGCTTGAAATGATTTCCTGAAGCTGCTGATAATTATAGGGACCAAAGCAAAGCCTTTGTATACCCATGCGGCTTGAAATACGAGGGAGCAGCTT